CTCTCCCACCTTCCCTCCCTCCATCTCTCTCAATTTTTATTGAATCTCTGAAATTTGTTTTCTTATTCGGATAGTTTGCAGCTATTGGTATTTGTTTTGTTCTTCTTTCTAAAAACTAAAATTTTTAAAATTTGTTTTTGAATTTATAATCTATTTAGAATTGAGTTTTGGAGTTTTAGCGTTAAAATGTTCATCATGATTATCTTTTTGCCTGTCTATTTTGCCATCTTTTTTTTGTTTTAAATGACAAATGTGTATGGTTATGTAACTTTTATTGGACATGTTATGAATGATGCATTTCTTGTACTCTGAAGTAATCATTTTACTCTTATTTCAAAGAATTATATGCATAAATAGTCTTTGTGGTCTTCATAAGTAGGTAAACAGTCTTCGTACTTTCAAAATTTGTGAAATAGTCCTTGTTATAGAAAAAACCATTGCATAATTAGTCCTTTAAAGAAAACGCGAGGCACGTAGAACACGCACATACTATGCGAAAATATGAAGCATGTGATGAAAGGAGAGACAACAAATGCACTATGAACGAAAATGTGATGGAGGTTAAAGGAAATGTACTTTAACCTGTATCAGCACTCTTTGACTGATTACTTTTAGGGCGGTTACTGTCATTTGTCATGGTAGAAGAAAGCCAAGCATGGATTGAATTCTTCTCATTGCCTTAGAAAGTGTGTTAAAGAATTCCTATAAAATACATATAAGCAAAATTTGAAAATACACACACCTATATAGAATATGTAGATTTGAGAAGTCAAATCCAACCAGGAAACCACCGACAAGACACAAAATAGCCGAAACAAATATCTTATAGAAAGTGTTGTTGTCCCAGTCATAAAATGAAAAACAAACCTTGTTTAGTATTAAATGCCATCTCAAATTTGTAACTTGCAAGCCCATTCCTCTTATATCCTCTACATCTGCATAGAAACAAACAAAACAGCTAAATTGAAAGAAAGGAGAATTAGATTGATACATATAATTAAGATAGAGCCCATAAAAATTATACCCTAGTAATGAAAATGAAGGGACTAGAACTACTCGAGATAGACAACCACTACTTGCATGCACTGACCAGAAGAGCTAGGGTTATGTGCATCTTTTATAAAATATTACTACCTCCCGCTATTTTTGGGACAAGGGAAAGTGGCACACAAATTGGGAAGAGGGAATTGTGAGGTTGATATTGAAGTTAAAAAGTAAAAAAAATACAAGAACCAATGTGAGGATTCTGAGCCACATTAATGTTACTAATTTTGGTGAGCGAAAAAATTAGTCAAAGACAGACAAGAAGGTAAACAGCAACAAAAAGTGATGCAGATGGAGTAATAATCAAATCTGGTTACCTATTTGAAAATGTCCAAAGAGCTGAGAAGCTATCCTATAAAGCACATCGACATCATCTGTAGCCAGTGCCTCCTAGTTTGAAAAATTCAGTAAAAAATAAAAGGAAATTTTAGTAGGCATAGAACCCAACAGACATTTTGTTCAGTATAGCAACAAAAAGAATCAAACCGTTGTAGAGTGACTCAAGTTGTCACAGATTCCGCAACCCAAATATTTTGCAGGCTCCCCAGCATCAATCTTCCTCTTCTTTATCTGGACAATAAATTACACCAGAGGAATAAGAAGCCCGTTAAATTATTTAATAGAAAACAAGAGTGAAGCTAAGCAATGTTAGAGGTGTGTCATGTGTGTATGCATCAGATTGGAACATCAAATTTAAGAAATGTTGAGCCTGCACTATAAAGCATCAAATACTGTGAGGATCTCAAAATTTCAGATAAAGGAAAGTAGGAAGCAATTGTAAGTATGGATTAAAAAGCACTAACATCTTTTAGATCCTTGAACCTCACACCCCCGTTGACATCCGCACCTATTGACTTGTTTTCCTGCAAAGATGTAGCAAACATAAAGGCTGCTAATGTTTATAGAAGATTTCAAACAATTAAAATAGGTGACGTAGACACAACAAGGACATGCAATGTACGTGTGGCTTTCTTTTGGCATGAAAGTAGCAATAAACTAAACAAGTTTGCATAGTCAGGGTTCAGTAACTACTTTAAGTAAATCCATAAAGATAACCAGCTCAGTCTATAATTTATCCTGCTAGTCAACAGTAGAGGTATATGCTACAAACAAGCAAGAAAATACCAAAAACATATATGCCTTCTCCCCTCACAGTGAAATTGAGAAAGAACAGAAGGTAAAGCGAAGAAAAAGAAATTGATACAGTGATACTCCCTTCGTCCCAAAATGATTTTCTCACTTCTCTTTTTTGGATGTCCCAAAATGATCTTATTACACTTTATACTTTGTTTTATAAAAGGACGCTTTTACCCTTAATAACCTACATATTTACTACTTTTTACGTTACATTTAGTAAACCTAAGAAGTAGGTAGGAGCATTTAAATTAATTTAGTTTCACTCTTAATATCCGTGTTAATTTCACATGAGAAGATCAATTTAGGATGGATAAAGTAATCAATTTCGCACAGCAATAACATAACATAACTTTTAGCAGTCAACAACCTGTGCAAGTCCAACCAACCGGGTGTCAATCCCTCTACTGTAGTTCCATAACATATTACCAGTTTTTAGACCAAAATCTTTTTGAAGAGATTCCTGAAGGTAAATAAGAATAAATCCTCATAAGTTGGCAATAGTAGATATTGAAGTTTGAAAACAGAGAACATTTATCTTTACAGCATTAGACCTTGGGTATCATCTGCAGCTGCCCACAAGTTGTTACTAGTCTCTTTCTAAGTTTCTCTTCCAAGACATGACCAATTCCTGGGAGGGCTTTTACTTGAAGGTCATGTAGATACTCTTTAACCTGATAAAAGAGCGGGGGACACAGCTAATTATACATAATTTTATATATGATCAGAATAGAACAGAAATGATATTTGTTGATTTCATTCAGGTGTTTCCTTCACTTTATGTCTCTCATTCCCATAGGAGATTGGTAGATATATGAGCTATTAAATTTACTTTTTCAGGAGGGATACAACATTGTCCATCTGGTTTAGCAGTTCTTGTAGCAAGACGGGCCAAGAGCATATTTCTAGCAATACCAGCACTTGCAGTGCATCCTGTTGACTCAACAATCTCCTTCCTGATCAGATGGACAAAAGCTTGAATGTCCTCCACCCCTGAGTCAGTGGCATCTAAAAATGCTTCATCGCAACTGACCGCCTACATTCACTAAAAATAGCCAATTGAAATGATACACACGAATATAATGTACTCAGAAAAGGATGAATGGATGATAAACATGGCAGACCTGAACTTTCTTGCAGTGTTTATGCAAGATATCATAAAATTTATCAGCGACCTATGAATCATAAAGCCCATGTTAGAGCCTATGCACAACTGAATGTTGTGAAGGCAGAGGAGAATGAGTGGCAAAAGAACATTCCTTTTCACTCAACCAATCCCACAATACCTCTTCATATGCTTGAAAGTCATAAGAAAGAATGACAAGCTGAGGACAGAGACCTTTAGCATCTCTTACAAACATTCCGGCCTTAACTCCTGCAAAGAAAATTTCATGGCTAGCTGAATTTATTAACAAACAGAAATTTTCCCTGAAAAGAAATATCTTGATTCAAATCCAACCATAATGCCTAGCTGTATAGTTTGCGGATGAAATTTCTGATGTTCCCCGTGGATTATCTGAATGGCAAATGGCAACAGGTTTTCCCTGCAACTCAGGATGGTTCCGGACAACCACTGATACAAAAAAGCAATCCTAACACACACAAAAAAACACACACACACACATGCACTAAAGCTTATATTGCCATATACGAGCAAATTGCGAATAAGAAACACTTCATAGTAGATTAACTATCCAGCTAATAAATGAAAAACTTATGAATTTTACCCTTGGGAGGTATCGACTCCCATGTAAGACTTCCTACCTTTTATCTTGGCAATAACTTATTTAATGGTACAGGTGCACTTAATAACCTCACCGGACTCTAAGAAGTCTACTATACTGTCGGCACGTAGATTTAGGATCAGAAGAGCTTGGAAAACGCTTACGATACCGGTTTTTCCAGGTACCAATAAAATGCAACCTCGATTTCTGAAAATTTAAGGATGAAAGATAGAAAGATAATCATTAAAGCGTACGGAAGTCAATCAGTTGATGAGTTATTTTATCTGAACCGTACTACATACGAAGTATTAATTTATTCTTCCATTACAACATTTTTTTGCATCATTCCGTTACAACATAAATAGGAGCAAAAATTGAAAAAAATAGATGCTAACGAAAGTACTATTTGTTCATTGGAGGATAAGCAATGAACTACAACTAAAAATACAACAAATAATTCAAGCTCAGAACTAATCATCCCTTGAACCAAATAAAGATCCAAAACAAGAAAAGTTGGAGACAAGGAAATACAAAGTAAATGAAAATCATGTACATGACTACATGTATGTAAATTTGAAACTAGCCTACTCATAAATCATACCCATAATTCATAAAGTATGTAGGTATATTTAAACTCCTAGTTCTTCACCATAATGCCTGATAATATTCTGGCTAATATTATAATGCTAGTTGTCCTAGATTCCTGTTTTTTACCTTGAAATAATTTTCCATGAAATTTGCATCCATTACACTTGTGTGCAGCTTATTAGGACTATGAGCTTTTAAAATTGATGCCTCCGTATCCATCTCATTCAGGCAGCTACCAGAAGCATGAAGAGGGCTGGGGTGGGATGTATTGAAGCTTGCATTACCACTGCAAGATGAATCTTCAGCTTCAGTTCCATTATAGTTCACATGACTAGGAACTAGAGATTCTCGAATGCATGCACTAGCATGTGCGGGGCCCCTTACTCCAGAAAGGTGACCACTCTCAGTGATGATTCCTTCCATCAATGGCATCTCAACATTAGATATTACCTGGTCAGGAGAGTTTTTTTCTATAATAGCAGGCGATGTGGAGTTCTTTGAGGTAAAGAAAGCAGACATATTTGGCTGGTTATTTGCTTCACTTGCAACTTGATCCAGTTGATAAGGTACCCCTTTAAATAATCAATCTGGAAATCAGTTCCATCATAAATGTAAAAGAATACTTGCATTATCAAGTGCTTGATTATGTGTTTTATAGTAGCAAGACTAGTAATGAGTAATTTAAAAGTTAGTGCATAATCTCTACTAAGTAACCATGCACATAAAACTTTTCTCCATCATCTCTGATGGAACCAAAGATTCACTTTTTTTGGCTTTGGGCATGATGGAATAAAGCAAAATGCTTCTTTAAACTATATGCACTTCTTTCAATAGTGATGTAGCAATTAGTCAATGCAACTTTCGACACTCATCATGGGTTATCTCGAAACAGTCCCTCTATGTTTTAAACAGGGGTCACGCTGCGTACATCTCCCCCTACCCCAAAATGGGCAGGACTCAGGAGCCTTCAAGGCACGGAGTTAATGTTGTTGTTGTAGGTAAGAGACATACAAATATTCCCCCTTTGGTAGTTTATACCTTCCTAATATAAGGTAATGTTGTTATGCAATAACCCATTACAACAACAAACCCAATAAAATTCCATAGAGTGCGGTCTGGTATTAGAATTCAAAATTTGATAGGAGACTCATACTGGTGAAACCTGGAGGGGGAAAAGAATACTTACAGCTCAAAAGTCTATTAGCAGCAATAGAATCTAGGACCCATGCAGGTTTAACTACCGGAAGTCCTCGACTAAAGGACCTGCCGCATAAAATTAGTAGACTATTCATGTTTAGAGAATCAAATAAATTATATTTCATGTGAGATGCAAAATATGACGGGATCACAAACCTCACATTCTTGATTTTGCTATCGGGGAGATTGCTGCAGATTATATGAGTAACACGTTGCCTTGAGAAATAATTTTCAAATCTCCCCCCATGCCTCAACATATAACCTCGGAGTTCCTAAAAAAAGAACATTTAAAAAGAAAAAACCTGCCTGCATCAATGAACTGCTTCACAAAGCAACTAAATTGTCTGCAATTTTAGATGAATAAATGGTGTAATATTGAAGTGGACGTAAACTTGAGTATAAAAGAAATGTCTCAGAGCACAAAAATGAACAAGGAAACCATTCATCAGAAACCTGATTGGAAGGAACAGTATATCCATCTACAAAAATTGAAACTCCATGAAATATAGGTCTTGATTCATTCGAAAGACTTGTCCCACTGTAAGAAGTGCTCGAAGCCTCTGCATCAAACTGCTCATGTAACTTCCGATTCTTCACAGACATGTAACTGGAAGATATCGCAATATCAGGTAGAAAAAACACTCCAAATTCAAAATCACGAATCAATTTGACGTGGTGAAGGTTAGATCAAATCCACGGTGTTAAATTTGTAAATAAAGACCAACATTTTTGTGTTCTAAATGGGGGAGAACCTGCCGAAATCGGAGAAAGGAGAGCGGCTAGACGTAGCCCGTGAAGAAGAGCGAGAATTGGCACCCCAAGCCATGCCTGGGGTTTTCTGGGTCGTCTTCTTCCTTTTCTTACTGGTATTATTACTGCTTGTAGGATTTGAATTGATGCTCCGTTTAGATTCGGAGGCAGAATTGGCGGACCTAGATGAATCTAAGCTCATACTTGTTGGTTAAACGAGTGGAAATGATGATTGGATGTCAAACTTGCGGAGCAGGGCATTTAGAATGAAAATCACAAGGAGGCCGCCGGTGTTTAATAGGGCGAAAAAATGCGCAAGAAATCCGCGATGAAGGAGGCCGCCGATGGGAAGTTTGCGCGGATCTGGGATGATGATCGATGATGATGATCGAAGACCGGTGATGATGATGGGGTTTTGTCGATGATTCTGCAGAATTGAAGCTGCGATGATGCGGTGATGATGATAAAGAAGGAAGACTGGTGATTGATGATGGGGTTTTGCAGGTTATGATGATGATCGAAGTTGTACCGTTAGACCTAAAAAAATTTGAATCTTCCCCTGTCCAAACCCCATTCCAACCCCAACCTCAAAGAATTGTGAAGAGAGCAGCGCCCCAGGCAACCCCCTTCGTCTGTTGCCAACAGCCAGCCGGCCATCACCTTTGCTCGCCCTCCGTCACCATTTTACCGTATGTACCGTGTTCTATTTTACTGAGTAATTCGTAAAATTTCTATTTTAAACTTATACTCCCTCCGTCCCGGAGTATTTGTCCACTTTTAACTTTTGGAACTGTTCATCTAAGCACTTTGACTCATCAAATTCTCTCAATGTGTAAGCCTAAATATAGTCATGTGTGATCTTGTTTGATTTGTCTTAACATATAGATTATTAATATATAATTTCTATAATTTTTTAATATACAAATTACAAGATAAAATGGATTAAAGAAGTGTATTGGATGGTGTGTAAAAATGAAAGTGGACAAATATTCTGGGACGGAGGTAGTATTTAGTAATTAAATTTTTATGANAAACTTATACTCCCTCCGTCCCGGAGTATTTGTCCACTTTTAACTTTTGGAACTGTTCATCTAAGCACTTTGACTCATCAAATTCTCTCAATGTGTAAGCCTAAATATAGTCATGTGTGATCTTGTTTGATTTGTCTTAACATATAGATTATTAATATATAATTTCTATAATTTTTTAATATACAAATTACAAGATAAAATGGATTAAAGAAGTGTATTGGATGGTGTGTAAAAATGAAAGTGGACAAATATTCTGGGACGGAGGTAGTATTTAGTAATTAAATTTTTATGAGATATGTTTATGATTAGATCTATGTTGAGAATATAGAATATTGAAATGTTGATAATATAGAAAATTTAAAATTAAGATTAGATCTGTGTTGAGAATTTAGAAAATTGAAATGTTTATGAGATATCCGAATTTTTTGTGATATATTAATGGATCTTTTGTAGTGCATTATATATTTTTTATTTTTCGTATTCATAGACTATAAATTTTAATTTCATAGAATAATGAATTTTCAAAGAACGGATGTTCATCCGGAACCAATTGCCCCCGATATACTAGTCTTGGCACCCGGTGAACATCGTTGTGATAGGCTGTGGAAAGACCGTGAGTTCGGGGACGTAACCAGTGAAATGTGTTAAATTTTTTGGTAGCTTGAGGGAAGGGTTTGGTGTGGAGCATCATCCACGAATTGTGGAGAAATTGCGTGATTATTGATTTTACAGGGTAGAAAGGATTTCTCAGTTACAAATCGATCGGGCTTTGATTACCGCCTTTGTCGAGAGGTGGAGGCCAGAGTCGCACACCTTTCATCTTTTATTTGAGAAGTTGGGATAACATTACATGATGTAGAGGTCCTACTTGGTCTCCCTGTAGATGGCACCTCTATTGTTGGTTCGCGTGGCAACACGAAAGAGTATTGGGTGCAATTGTGTGCAAATATGATGGGGCTTAGGAGTTAGACCATCTTTAGAGGAGTTGAGCAAGACGTAGATCAGAATCAATTCGATCATACCCATTCATGTTTGTGATCATAGCCCGGAGGTCGACTTTTTGCAGCATGCTCGGGTCTTGATGTTGAAGATTATCGGTGGTGCTCTCTTCTCTAGCACGACGGGTAACAGGGTGAACTTGCGCCTTTTGGAGTTGCTCGTTCGCACGATGCAAGATGTGCGAAGTCGTGCTATAGCCACTGCGGCATTGGCTTGCATATACAGTAATTTGTGTCGTGCAGCTCTATCGGAGACGACACAAATCGGTGGGCCTCTCAATCTATTACAGATTTGGGCGTGGAGAGCGCATCCCGATGTGTAGACCACGGGGTTTACTTCCACCCGAATATGGAAGAGATGCACCGTATGGGGCAGGTAATTTTATGTATGAATTCTTTTTTACCATTATTCAATTAATTTAGTACTTAATCTTTAATATTTTTCTTCACAAGTGGGTGCGTTATCATCGTTAGACAGTTTCACCGTCTCATTTCATTCGTCCGTATAGGGACCCGTTAGACAGGCTACAGGAGAGAGAGGTGTAGTCAATCCATTCTATTACTCTCATTCTATTGTATAATTGTAGTAGTGTTATAACTTGTTTTATTTGCTTCTCTATGCAATTCATTTGGATGCCATACTATACCCCAGTCCAGAACATTTGCATCCTCACTGCATCACCGGGCTCGCAATATGGTGTGCACGTATTCCATTGATATACACGTATGTGGTGGAGATGTATTGCCCGGATCGGTTCTGTCGCCAATATGTTTGTGAGTTGCACGCCGTCACATGGACCATGGCTCCTATAATGACACATTTTCTAGAAGAGTGGGAAGGCCGACATCAGAGTATTGTGGAGATTGACTTTGATCATCACAGATACAGTGATGCATATCGATACTGGTACTATCTATATGGTAGACGCATTATAGGCAACCCATCGCATGACCACCTTTTTGTCACTAAATACGTCCCTCTCAATCCGGACGTTCATTGCCTGGTATGCACTAGGGTTGTAAATGAATCGAATATTTTTTGTTCGATTCGTGATTCGTATTCGTTTAAGGTGATTCGTATTCGATTTTTTCAAATCCGTATACGAATCTGAATAAATATTCGAATCCTTATCGAATACGAATATGAATCAAGGGTATTCGATTCGTGAGTTTGACAAGTATATTCGGAATATAAATCTAATTATACAAATTATATATATATATATATATATATATATATATATATATATATATATATATATATATATATATAGGGGATGGTTCCTGTGAGAATGACTCTTGGTGAAAGAAATGAGAATAAATAAGAATCATTGATATTGCAAATCTAAGGGCCTTGATTAGATCTAAAATCTGGCGCATTGACTATTAAATATGGTAAAAATGATTCATGCCCGTAAGTTTAGGAATGAAACATGTGCAGAGGGGTATTTGTGTAAGTTTGACAATTGATCAACACGTCCCAATTAGTGGAGCCGTAAATGTGGAAGTATTAATAGTTATCTTATTAATTATTTATTTTTTAATCATGCACCTTATTAATGTGCAATAGTTGTCATACGGTGTATTGATGATTTTTTCTTTTTTCTTTTAAATTCATAAACCATATTTCTTAAATAAAAATCAAT